GTGTGTGTGTGTGTGTGTGTGTGTGTGTGTGTGTGTGTGTGTGTGTGTGTGTGTGTGTGTGTGTGTGTGTGTGTGTGTGTGTGTGTGTGTGTGTGTATATCTTATGTTTCACCACCCGGTTCTTTCTTGGTGTTGTGCCACTTTGGCTACCGTGCCTCTTTTCCTCCATTCTTGTCGCATGGTTATCTTCTCACATTCTCTTTTGCATTTAAAACTAATAAAATGTGATATTTGGGAGCTCCTAATGACGTACACCCATCCATATATTCATGGTCGCTCTTCAGAAGCAGTGCATTTTGGAAGACGTTTGTGTGTACATCGGTAAAGTGGAATCTTTACTGACGTATCTTTGACATCAAGTGCAGCTGGAGGTGCTGCGCTCGGAAACGCAGGGTTGGGACATCACACGAAGTGTGTAGGCTGCCTTCTCCTACGTAAGAGAAAGAAAAATAAAGGGCCTTCCAAATCTGAATGGTACAGAGTAGCGTTTGGGGGGTTTTACTGCGTCTTGTGGTGAACGTGCTGAGCAATCAATCAGCCTTGAAGGAATTCCAAATACAGTAAAGGACCAGTACCTGGAAGGTCGAAGTGATCACGCGGGTAAGTGTGACCTCTCCTTTGGCAATAATTGATCGTGTCGAGGGTCGTCGTGTGATTTCATGCCCCGTCACAATTGGGTTGGTTCTAATTGTTAACCTACTCTGAAGGCTAATGCCCTTGATTACTTGCTCAGCATAAAATTGTTTGTCGAGGTTAGTTACAATCCCCTTTTTCAGCGCTCCCCAACTACTTCAGGTACTGTTTTCATGAATCTTTTGGGTCCGCACAGGGTGAACAAATAGCTCAAGGTCAAATGGCCTTTCGATAACCTGTCAAGGTTGGAGCAAAAGCTCTGCCTTGTCCTCAATTTAAGACAGGTGACGCCTCTCCATCTAGTCAGTTCGACACAGCTCTTCCAACTCTCACAACAATTCGCTTCTAGCATCATTCTGAATTCGACTTTAGGTTGGTGTTAACTGACCTCTCCACTCGGCGCCATCAGAACAGTCCTCGTGGTGGTTCCAGTGCCCCATCGGGAGTCGCGAAGTTCAAATCCCTCCCCATCGGTGGGTTTGCAGCCCTCCGACCAGATCTACCAATCAAAAGAGGCTGTTTTGACAACTCAATTGCTCCTTTTATTATTCGTTTGGTTGCTTATGCCATCTGCTCTTTGTATTTGACTGAACTACTTTTAGATTTCAAGTTAGACAGATTAGGTTCACGAAGAGTTATTTTTGATCTGTCAAAGTGTCGAATCTTTATTTTCGAAAAAAAATTCCTACTTCATCTTGCCCAGTAAACAGATGGGTTGATGGCAAGGCATGCTTTGAGACAGCCTTCTTTCCAGAACTTCTTGCATTTACGTGGTGTAAGTGGTTACACTACTCGCCGTTGTTTATATATCTGGTTTTTTTTTATTTTTGGAAGCGAATGCCTACTCCTTCCTAAAATGAGGGTAGCGGAGTCATTTCAAGAATAGCCGGACACGCCTACCATTATCCACCCTCCAGCAGACGGCCTTAGAGATCACAGTCAGGGTAAAACGCAACTGGTTATCTATTTCCCCCGGGGCTATATTTGAAGCTAAATAAAATAAATACAATATTTTTGTTGTATGCTTAACCCGTGATTTTGGTAGAGGGGCCGTTTAGGCGCTCCGCCTGATATCCAAGCTATGCCAGTACCCCCAAGCCCCACTCTACGTTGACAACACATATTCTGCCCGAGTGTTATATCTTCCTTCCACCACTTCTTGAGGTCACCCCCCTGATGGCACACTCGCCCCACCTCCCTAGTGAGTCAATTCAACATCCACACACCCACGTGAGACCCACCGACCGAAAAGTAGCCGCACAGGCGGTGATAGCCTACCTTTATCATCCTCCGGCTGGGATCGGTCTCCAGCACTGTACCCTTGGGGATGATGAAGGTATTGGTCAGGCGATCGTCCACTTGACGCATCAATCTCATACCACTGATGTCTTCTCTCTTTAGAGAAATTAAAATCTGGTTTACTGGTAGTATATCGAATACCACTTCTATGGAAGCAACGAAATTGTTCAGTCACCTTCCCCTCCATCAAAGAAGTGGTTGAAAACGGCATTACATAAGTTGACAATGCTTGAACATAAAAAAATAAGGGTGCTTCCGATTTGTCGATAGACAAAATTACTATCCCACTCAAAGTACAAATTTCCAAAATTCAATCTTAATTATTCCTCACCAGAACACACTTCCCCTACAGTGTATCTGATGGGTTATTTTTCCCGTCCTCTTCAAAAGAAATTCTACTTCATAGCCAAATACAGCTTCTGATTGGTCCGGAGGCTAATCTTATTTTTGTTAGCAAACCTTTGACATTTTGACGTCAAGTTAAAGGATCTTCGCTAGGCCAAAAAGAAGCCTCTTTCAGGCCCTTCCAAGTGTAAGGCCTCCCTGTTTGAGCGAAATTGCAAATGCATCTGCATGCAGAGCAAACGCGGCATTTGTGTTTCTACTAATCTAGTCTACGAGGGAATCACCTACTAATGCCACAGATCATTTCTGCATTGGCTAAAGGCGGGATGTTATAGAGAAGAGGACTGATTCTTGAACAATAAACTGAATAAGGCTTCACTAAACTCATATTTCTAATCTAGGAGGCTCCAATTGCCTGATCTGGTACACCCACCTGGGATCCGGTATTGACCAAGGTAACTGAAGAGCCGTCCACTGCGCACTCTACGATGGAGATGTTGCCCTTGGAGCTGCGAGTGTGGCTGATCCTCTTTGGTGTCGGCTCGGGCAATACCAGTTCTACTCGCGGCTTCTCCAGGACTGTGTGCATGGTGGAGAGACAGGAGTAAGCCGTGCACTTTGGCTCAATGGAGTCACATAGTGAGGATACTACTCTACCTGTTTACGAAATTACAAGCTCGTCATGGGCTTTTGGGACTAAGTCGATCAGAATATCGACGTCTGATAGGAATCTCTTCATTTGTTTATTTGATCACTGGAAATGAGTACTAGAATCTAGTGTAGCTATCATAACCTCCGTGTTTTTATGTACGTTTAGCTACGCGGGTTTACATTTTCCCCACAGGCCACACTTAGGACTTGGTGGCAGGACCTAATGGCCACGCCTTTATCCCCCTAGGCATATTTTTGCCTTAGTGATAAAACTTGTTTTGTTTTTTTAGCTAGTATGGCTTGTTACAACCGCGGATGAGACTTGGAATGCAACAATATCCTTTCTACATTTTCTGTTATTTTACCAATTTTTCAGTTAAAGCAATGCGCCTTCATTCAAAGAGTTGTTTGTATAAACATCTTTTGAACGAGGGTTTAATGCTGGAGTTCATGCATCAGAAGCGACTTTACTCAACGCAATTCAAAGTAAAAGTGCTATCAAAATAGAGACTTCAATGACTTTAAGAATAAGGACATAGCTTACCCGAACATCCGAAAACGTGTTGCCTGGACCAACGAAAAAATGAAATTTATTGATAAATTATTACAGGCTTAGGTAGACAAGTGATTCAGTGACCTGATTTGTTACGTAATATCGCATTATTTGTTACATGTAAATAACAAGTAGCCCTGGCTTAAGACCCGACTACAACCGAAGTACCGCTTGATAACTTTTCCCCCGAGTCTATGCGTACCCATAAATACGGCATTTATCGTGTGATCACGTCTGTCAATTATCCTTCAAACAAAGGAAACCAAGTTAAATGTCTTTTTCTAGTGAGAGTTGTCTAAGAAACTCCCATTTTCATATACCTACTCTACTAGTAAATTTGTTGGCATTAACCACCCAAAACTAACCGGTATGGGCCAGTTATGTTTTTACAATTAAGGAAAGCAAGCAAAAAACCTTATCGTATGACTACAAAGGCGAAGGGCGTTGAAAATTTTCTCAAGGACTCCGCTACCGGTTGATTTAAATTTCGCAAATGTTAGACGGTTCGGGCTGGAGATTCCCCGACAAGGTGTCACCTGAACTTTGCTGCGTACCCACACATCAAGCGAGACTGCTACACGTCAGTGTGTGTCTGTGCTTGACGTGATGCCTAAAATCCGTCTGTCAGGTGAAATTGTGTAACTCTAAGTTTATAAATCCAAAAAAATGGGTGTCACAACGACTGCGCAATGCGCTTACCACCGTCGTGAGATGGTAATGCAGAGCCTCTGAACCCGGAATAATTTGCATGAGCTCAACGCCTCCAATCACCTACGCATAAATAGGCCCGGTGTGCGTTCATCAACGAAGTAGGCCTGCATTTATTTCTTCTCCTTCATAGCGGTTTTCCTCGCAAGCCATTTACTAGTGAATGACAGGTGCGCAAAGAAAACAATTTACTTTTTTGTTTTTTACTTCTCAGAGGAAAAATTACCGCCATAGACTAATTTCATAATGAGACCAAGTGTAATGACCTTCACGCCAAGAAATTTTACATTAACCTCATTAATTTTGAATTCGATAAATCTCTCCACGGCGTAATTTTAATGCAACCACAGACGGTGAAAACAGCAGAGATCGCACGTCACTTGCGTGACGTGCGGGTGCAGGTAAGCAAGTCAGGGCGTCAGACCCGTCAAGCAGAGCTGAAGTGGTTCATGTTTACTTAAAAAGTCCATCATTGATAAACGCGTTCTGTTTGCATCTTTAATGCAGCGGGCCCGGATTCCAATTTACACGATGTGTGTGTTGAGGCATGAATTCTCATTCAGTAGAAACGTTTTAATGAACCATTTAGTGAGCTAGATGACAATGTTCGACTTACCTTCGCTCCTCGTGCTCAATCAGCCGTCGATATGAGGCTATTTCCAACTCTAGACCCATTTTCGAATCGAGGAGGGCCTCAAAATCTGTCCGCAACCGTTGTAACTCCGCCTGACAAGCGCTCAGTTCTGTGGTTAAACGATGCTTTGTGAGATCGCTATCCTTCTGCCTCTCCTGATTCAATGCCCGCAGTTCGCGGACCGTCAGCTCCAACTGGGCATTCTACAAGCCATCAAAGCACTCTCAAGAGTGATTGAAGAAGGGTAAAGTTCCGTGTTTTTAAAGGTAGAAGAGTCGAGACTTACGGCCTCCTCCAGAGTGCTAATTTTGCGACGCTGGTCGATGAGGAGCTGGCGGAGGTGGACAGGTGCCGACTCTCCCTCTGTCTCTGTCCCTGCCACTCCCGTCTGACGCAGCACCCGCGCCTTCACCTCATAGGCCGAGTGGATGTCCGCTTTAGCGGCCTCCAAGCGCTGCTCGTACTCTAGTTGAATTTCACGCAGCACCTGCATTATCTCTGTCCGGAACACAGCTACGGCCTCCTGTGTCGATTCGCGTTGTACAAGGGCTGACAGCTCACGCAACTCCTACACAAGGGTATGGTGATGTATGCGAGGTTTTCCGATCTTCCGTGCTAGCAGTGTGAAGCTTTAACAGTGCTAATCAGGCTGTCAGTTCACCAGACCACTTAGTCCCTCATACCAAAGCATTTTTCAGGCAGTATTAATTAGTGTTGTCATTTGTGGTTTAATAAATATGAATCCTATTGGGGGGATCGTCAAAGCGTACTCTTATCAGCCTTATTGTTTGGCGGACAGAAATAAGTTATTCAGGTGCGAAATCGCTTTGTTTTCTCACATCATTCGTGTCAAATTTTACCTAATCACTGTTACCTGCAATCAATTGAATAAAACCGGTTTTGCAGAACTTCCAATCCATTTATAATCATTAGAGGGATCCTTTAAGCATGGGTTATGGACGCTAGAATAGAGTTTTTACTACTGAAATGGGGTTCTGAGTAGTGCTACCTTTCCCTGTTTTCATATCTCGATAGAGTTAGAGCAGAAAGTAAATTAATTTCGGATTATCCAAGTCAACAGTGGTGGTAATTTCACCCAAAGTCGGGGACGATTTTGTGTTTCATCAAAAGGGTAGCGTCAATCGTCTACTAGATTGTGACTATTTCAACGGGGCGCCATTTTTAGCCGGTTGCCATATCAAATACAGTTCATTGAAACAAATTGTTCTGATGTGTAAATGTTAAGCAGTTGGAATTTTCAGCAAATTTTTGGGTTTACCGGTGTATTTTGTAGGTAAAAAGATAACTATATCACAGAAAATGGACTTGGGTAGCTATTCAAGCATTCGTGCTTAGTGGGAGGGATAGATGGCGAATCGACTGTACACAATAAAAAAAAGCCAACCTGTAACCTACTGATTTGCAGGTTAAATCACTAACCTACGATAACTTTCCTACTGGGTGTTAAATTGTGGCCTCAATTATTTTCCAGACCAATTTATTTCCCACAATCAAATTCTCACGATGCATGACAACGTCGGTAGTGTGTTCACCACTGCATCGCATAAACTGGCAGCAGTAAACTAAGTAATTTTAACGATAGCTTTCTGGAGTAAGATTTTGTCGAGACAATAAACTCACAGCATCCTGAACTTTCTTCCTATGCTCCAGCTCCTCTCGAAGCATTTTAGCATCTGTTTCTGCAGCATGTCGGGCCACCGAGAGCCTGTCGTTGTCCTACCGGAAGGGTGACAAACTAAGTTAGCTACACAATTAACGAGTGGAAAGGGTCAAATAAAATTTTGCAAATCTCAATAAAATGTCTTATATGTTGGATTAGTGGATACACCAATCCTTTCCCAAAGAGGAGCATGCCTATGAATGAAACTGTTAGGGAATGTTTTGTCTCTGAAACCAGAAGACCCATCCGCCTCCTCTTCAACCCTGCTTTTCACGTGCGGACGC